CGAGGTTTTCTTCGCGGCTGTTGGGGTCGTCGAGCTCTTCCATCACATCGCTGAGCGATACATGTGTCCGACTGCCACGAGATCGCTTCCGAGGGACAGGCGCGCGACACTTCTGCGCCCTTTCCATGCACAGCTTGACATCGTCGAGTGGAATGAGAAGGCGACCCAGCTTGAGTGCGATAGATGCATCGCGCAGACCCTCAAGGCCTTTCTTGAGGAAGCCGTGAACGTTGAGGGTACAGTGATCCAGTAGTTCGGTCGACTCCCTGCCCTCTGGGGTGAAGAGGATGCTGCGGGCGGAGAAGAGCCATTCGGCGGGCCACTGCTCCTCGTCTGACTTGGGCTTGTGGTGGTTGAAGAGGCGACTGCGATCGACCGTCTTGCGCCGTGTGTCGACTGCGAGATTGAGGCCGCCGACCTGGATGGAGCCCACGTCGACTACGACCAGGGTGGTCGCGTGCGCCACGACATCGACCTGCCTGAGCCAGTTGATGTTCCTGTGCAGGCGCTTGATCTTCTCCTTGGCATCTGTCAGCCGCTTCCACGTCAGGCTTCGCGGTGTCTCGTCATCGCCCAGCTCGTCGTCCTCCGCCACGGGCTCGGGCGTGTTCTGGCCGCTCTTGCCCTTTTGTGTAGTGCCGTTTGCCCAATGGGCCCATCCCGTCTTCTTCCGCGGCTTCTCTCCCAGCGCTTTGAGGTCGACCGTGACCTTGAGTTCGTGCAGGACGATGCTGACTACTGTGGGTTGTGCGAATGTGGGTCGGTGAAGGGTGAAGCCGAGTCCGCGGATCTCGATGCGCAGGCCATCCTTGGGCGTGAAGGCAATGCGTCGCAGCCCCCGTAAGCCCAGGCGCTGTATGGAGACCCCGGTGGCGATGCGTATAAAGGCGAATAGGACAAAGGAGAGCAGGTATATGAGGAGCACGAGCCCCGCGAGGAACTGGAGGGTTGGCAGAGCCATGATGCTGCTTCAACCGTATGCCATCGACCGAGTCGAGGATTATCGAACGAGGTGGTCGCGAGTGCACGCGACGTGCCTGAGTGATGGGAGAGTCGGCCGGCGGAACATAATCGAAGGGAGCGCGGGCGCAGGGCTACGAGGGTCGCTGCATCGAGGGCGAGGGTGTACGTAGGTGAAAGCGCGGACTTAACGGTCGGGGCAGATGAAAGCGGCCAAAGCGGCAGGCCCGGATCGCGTCGCTGGGTCGTAGCGGCTGTGGCTAGTGAAAAATTCAGGGCGAACAGGAGGATCTCGATCCAGCAAACTCAATGTAGGCCCTCTCCAAACACTCTGCGGGGCTCCGTATTTGCTTCGCTTGGTGTCTTGTGCTGATGCCGTCAGATTTCCAGGTTCCCACGCTTCGTCGGCACGACATCCCTGCATCGCCAAGACCCACCCGCGTACCGGGAAGGAGCTTAAACGCTCCTGCCACGCGACTGTCACCCAACGACCCTTCTGCGTGCTGGCTGAGTCACGCTCACGTGCCACAAACTTGTACTGGCATGAATGTCTGTTTCCGTGGTGTTGGGCTGAATGGCTTTCCTAGCTGAACCAACCCAATCGTCCATGTAGCCAGTCGTTCCTGCCAAGCACGACCGATCGCGGCTGTCTGCATACGTGGGACGACAGATCATGGAACCTCATCCCGCATTACGGCCGAACTGCAACGGCGTCGGGAACAAAGAGACGCTATCCTTGCGGTGGATCATTACCTTCGAACCCTTCAAACTTCTCCAGGTCATTCTCAATTCCATTTGTACACGCACTGGTCCCAGCGCTGTCGGTGAACTTGACTGGATGATTGTCCATCGATGTCGCCTTCCTCTGAGCGTTCAATGCGGCTTCCTCGAGGCTTCGCGCCTTCGCAACAGGTGCTCATCTCCCGATATCCGGCAGGAAGCGCGTGCAAGTAGAAAGAAGCGAACGATGTACCTCAAACTTGGAAACGTCGCACCTCTATCACCATAGCACATCACATCGTCAGAATATGGATAGCCACAATCCTCACGCAAATATACATAGTGCAGTTCCGATTGGGAGTGCAAGGAACACGCTACCCATGATTCTTCCGCCACCCCACCCAAAAGAATTCTTCCGCTACACAGATCCCGTCGGCCTCACCTACATATATGCATTCTCGTTGAACGACGCACAAAACGTCATCTCCAAAAGCGACCCCAATTACAAAGCCAAGTCGCCCATCGCAGTCTTCTAGGCACGAACAGCGGATGTCGCCGACAAGCCCAGGACACCATGGCATCTTATCAACCCAGTTCTACCCGTCGCTCATTCCAAGATGCTTTGGACACATAATAAATGTCGCCCAGAATCCATGGTCGTTTGTCGGGAAGATTTTCGCGTGGCGTCGGGCGAGATGATCCAAAGGGAATACCAATGGCGAGATTGGCAACACAATAACGAGGCTAGGTGCTTTGTAAGGGATTCGCCAAGCATCGCGAGCACAGCAGGTATCAGATACGCTGCACCGGAAATAAAGGATGCGAAAACAGCATGGGCTCACTAGGAGGAGTGTCGGGACAGGGCTACACTCGCGAGATTTGGGGGTAAGTTTTGACTGCACGAAGTGCATGTGAAACATATACTGACTTCGTACCTCTACCGCTGCAGTACCGAAAAAAGGAGCAGGAGCACCTCGGGTTCAGAGGCCTCTTCATCGCAAAACCTTCATGCGTTATGCCTGATTAACTAAGAGGGCGTTTTTCCACTTCTTGCTATGCTGGTGCGTAGCTGAGGGCTCAATGCCTAGTGTTTGTCAGTTTGGACTTGGCGGATGCACGTATTCATCCACTGATCAAATTCATCTCTGCCGCTTACAGACGTTCATGCTGTCTTTTTTATCGTTTCACTAAGTGTTCGTCCAATATCACTTATCTAAGCAACTTGTTTTTCGATGTTCTTTCATCAACAGCAAACCCGGACACCTACCGGTCCATTTTTTGGATGCACTCATTCCACGACACGGCTGGGCAACTATCACCAGCATCCTGGTGGTCATATCTTAAGGCCTTTGATATCCATGGTATCACATCAAATTCCATATTGATGGAAGGTCGTGGATGTCTCAACTTGCGTTCTCAGTGGTGCAGAGACGCGGAAGGTGGTGACGTCATAGCAGGGCGCGCTCAGGTCGAGCCACGAACCATCACTCTTACTCCGTCATTTCCGTCACCACAACGCGATGCGCTGGCTTTACTACGACTCTGACGCGTCTTATATGTCTTTACAGGACAATATGATATTTGACGCGCATTTGACACGCGAGCAGTGGCATCGTGTTCGCGTTCTACGGGTTATTGACTTCGAAACAGTCGCTAAGAGAACGCAGGTCGATGCATCACGTCCTAGCGAGCGCGCCTCCACTCAACCATGAACCAAACTCGTCGCATGCACATTGCGGAAGTGTCACCGCACGTCAATCACGACACATGACCTCGCGACCGCCTTCGCTGCTGCGGGGACCTTGTTAGCTTCAAAGGAGCTCTGACCGTCGGCCATGATGTCCGGAAAGAGTGAATGGCTAGACTGCAGCGACTGCAGCGAGAGTTGCTACGTCGGATCTCAGCAGAACCCTGCCTTTTATCGACACTTCTTTGCGAAACCCCTTTGTTTGTCAGTCAGTCATCACTTCAGAATACTTACACTCAACATACGCCGCGACATCCTAATCTACCTTGGTGGGCTTGGATACTTCAAAACCATCACCTACAATATGCGTACCCGACCCGACGTCTGCGAATGGTTTCGCGGCTGCCCGAACCCGGCTCTCATACACTACGCCTTCTCGGATATTTGGCTGTGCAGCTACTGCATTGGGGACACGCGAATGGAACTCCCTTTGTGTGCGAAAGATGGCTGGAGACGTGGCAGTTGCGTTGACACCGACAGTCAGCAATGGTTTTGCGACTCACATGCAGTTCGTTGCGAAGCCATCGTTGGGAGACCACAAGGTCAATCTATCGGGAATTCACATCGATGTATGCGTATTGGGGCTCTCTACGAAAGCAATGTGCTTGACCGGTACTATTGCATCGATCACATGCCAGACAATCAAGTACTACATGATGCTGAGCCAGTTGCGAACGTGGCGATTAGCCCTCCGATGATCTCGCAGACTCTCCTCTCCACGCCACATCTCGCGGGTGTAGTCTCAGTGCTACGAGACCACCCAGCAACAGCAGTAGCTACACCACCCCTGGCAACTCATCACAATTTGGACATCTTTTCGGCTGTGGTGGATACGGAATGTTGCACTTGCTTCGAACCACAGCGGAGCATGCGTCGACTTATCGCCTGCAACCACATGTTCTGTGAAGATTGTTTGTCGAAGCAGATCAACGGGCCATATGCGAGGGCTCATGACTGTCCGCTTTGTCGGAAAGATATCTTTGATCTGAGAGGTACGGAGTAAGAGACAATTTGAATGTCGAATTATTAGATCGTGTGCTGCAGTGTAATCCTCGGCCTTCCTTTTGCTTCAACAAGACGTAGCCATCTGTTTCCAATCGTCTTGATTCTGGCTTGCAATGTATTGTTCATCAACTAGTGCTTTTCACCTCTGTCCTCTCTCACTTCACCATCCATGACTGTTTTTTTTTAGCGAGCGGGTCAAAGCGTCTTATCGCGTAACGTCTGCTTTCAAGGCATCTTCCACATTTACTCTCGCCAATACAGTCAACGACTTCTCTGAAACCCAAGCAGCAATCTCGACAAGATGGCGACATCATCACCGCTGGCGTATGCAACGTAAGTGATCACCACCGACCGGTATATTGGTCTTGCTGACTGGAAGTTTATTACAGCCTCTTCAACAACCCCACCTTCTCCGATATCAAGATCCGGCAGATCTGCGGCGATCGTGTTAAAGAGTACTTCGGACACAAGGCGGTGCTTTGTTGTCACTCAAAGTGGTTCATGCGGGCGCTGACCGGTCGCTTCAAGGTACGGGTCTAATCCGTGATCATACTGGTCATGTGCTAACATGAAGGTTCAGGAAGCTTCTGAGAGCGTCATCGAAATGAAGGACGACGACCCCGACCATTTCGAGATCATGCTGAAATTTCTCTACACGAACGAATATGAACTCTCAGTCGAGGAAATGGACGCACCACAGCTGGTCGAGAACTTCATCCACCCTGTTGGAGTGCATCTCCTAGCAGACAAGTACGAGATTGATGGCTTGTGTATTGCTGCGGCCAATGCCTTTGGTTGTCCCGATTCCTGGGAGCACAGCGACTGTTGTTTCAAGATCGACACGGATGGGCTAAATCAAGTGGTCGGTGTGCATTACGGTGCTTGCGCACTTGTCGGTTCTGACATGGGCGGCCGCATTGTCAACTACATGTTTCGACATTGCAAGATGAACGACATGGCTATGCAGATCGGTCACCTTGTCCACAGCTTCCCCGCATTTGGCGCGGACATCGTGATAGCAGAGCTGAGACTCAGATGCTTGGGACAATGTGCAAAAAAGCACAAATAGGTATCTGGCGAGATGAAGACGGTCCCTACGACGTACAAAAAGCCGAGCATGACATGTAATCTTACAGCCAGAGAATGTATCGTATTCCATGACTGACCTTGGCTGGACAGACACAAGTATGTTTAATTACCCAAAATCAGCCTCCGATCTAGCGTTGAACATCCAATATGCTGCTGCCCTCCCACTGACCCCACAACTTCCGCATAACACCCTGCCTCTCCATCGTGTCCTGCAGATCCTTCAGCGCAGCAAGCCTTCCACTCCCATCCTTCATCTTCCAGTTCCAGCCCTCCGAGCGGCCAGACATGACGAGCTCCCACTTCGCCTTGTTGTCAACCGGCTGCACATGCGCACCAGGCTCGCTATACACCGTGACCACATCGCGAGCTTGCAGAAAGGCGAAGTTGGATGTACCCTGCATGCATTCGCGGATCTCGAGGACCTTGAGGGCGAGATGCGGGTTATAGACGCGCGCAGTATCTGGTCATGTTAGTTTCGTATCAGTGAAGTGACAATGTAACAACGTACTGAGGATACCAATCTTCATTTCATCAGCCACATCCGCAACAGCGACCTCCTTCTCCTCGTGACCCGTCTTCTCAACCATCCTCACGTTGATCTGGCGGCCGCCCACCTTGCTCCAACACAGCTCTTGTACCGCGCGCTCTGCCTCTCCCTCTCCTGTGATCTTGATGAGTGTGCGTAGCGGATAAGCGAGGTTTTTGAAGTTGGGGAGCGCGAAGTCGGGCGAAATCGTGAAGTCTTGGAAGAGTAAGATGACGTCGCGGTGGGTGAGCTTTGGTGGGTAATTGGAGAGCTCGATGGTGGTCCAGGACATGTTGGAGAGGGAGGGTGTGGGAGAGGGGGTTGGTGTAGGTGGTGTGATTGTTATGGCGATCGAGTGGGGGAGAGGGAATCGAGGTGGGGCGAGGCGGTCTAGGTGTAGTGAGCAGACGGTCTTGGTGAAGATCTGGTGAGCAAGATTGGTTGGCTCGCCCGTTTGCGCTTGCGGTGGGGACATTGTATACTACTGTTGATGGTTATTAACGTAAAGAGGAATGCTATTCAGTCGAAAAGAGGTTCTGGTATTGCGGTTGTGTGAGAGATTGGGATTCTGGGTTCAGAAGCGCTCGAAGATTACTATCTACCAGATGATGATATCCTCAGTCACTTTCACATCGAACTCGCATTCACCGCTTCAATTGAGAAAGGGTAGCCTCCTTCTTAGCCGCCTTCTCGTCTTGTGCGGTCATGGTCTTGGGCTTGGTGGTGGCCGTATCTAGGCAACTACATCGTCTTTCCTCAGGTATATCTCAGTGATGACCAAATAGCGTGGCGATATTCAGGTCACCAGCACCTTGCTGCCGTTCACAGCAAAGGGCCGTGAAGCTACCAGACACCCATATCGGTAGGACTTCCGCTTTCAATTGACCTCATGTAGTCTGCAATCGAATCTGTCCTTTTGTTGAAGAGGAGAAGTGAGGAGGAGGCGCGTGCCCACGTGGTGAAGTGGGGCCATGATATGACGCGTAGCAATCCATTCGTCGCACAGCCTTTCGACACCCCTCCCAACCGCGAACAGCAACGACAAGATGGAGAGTTTCTACATACCGCCACACCTTCGGAAGAAAGTAGAACCCACAGCGGTGTCAGAAGCGCCAACGACACCCGTCGCAATACCATCAGCGGTGCTCAGCTGGAAGTCCGAAGAACGGTCCGATGACGACTTGTACACCGTCCAGGAAATCCACAACTACTTCTGGGGAGAGGGCGCCGTCACCGAAGATGCACATAACGCTACCCTCCATTCCTCCGCGACAAACCCGAACGGTCTATCGTGGGTGCTGTTGTTCAACGGCGCGAACCCGAAGTGGGACGAGGACGGAGTTATATTCGTCAAGAGCAACCTGAACCTTCTCACGGTAGCCACACCTCCTTCCGAGCCTAAAACAGTAATCGCCGTCGCAGTACCTACACAACGATTAGACGAACCGGGTGAGGACGGAGGTGTTATGCTACCAACGAGCAGCGAAGTCGCAGACGAGGATTACGAGGAGAGTTCATGGGGTGGAACACCGGAGCCTGCCAGCACTGAGCCGCTATCGAATCGCCAGAACGAGAGAGTTGTCATCGACTACTCTCCAATCGCCGTCTTCTCCCAGTCTGTCGGACGTCCTAGCCGATCATTCAAGTTCATCGGATGGTATGAGATAGAACACTTACAAATCCTCAAGCCTGGTTCCCAAGGGCTGCTTCACATGTTGTGGGACAAGTGGAAGACGAAGGACAAATACGGCAACTATGTACCAAGACAGCGAGGCTCCGTCAATTGGATGAAGAGCATGTCTTACTCGTGGGCTGTTGTCCAGATGAAGAAAGACAAAGAAGCTATGAGCAGCAAGGGCGAACCAAAGATTGAGAGAAGGGACGATTACGAGGGCATGACAGGAGAGGGCGAAAAACAGAGCGTCAATGAGCTACTTGCTAAGATGAGGCTCGAAGGAGATGGCAAAGAAGTGGCGCCCGAGGAAGAGGAGATTTGAGAACTCTTGCTGCGGACTGATCTGTGTATGATCGGATGATAGGAACGACATCGCACAGCAGCGATATGATGCAGGTGCAATGATGAGTGAGAAAGTGTCAACTTCAGATAGCAATCGAAGCAATGACACCAATCCTATAGTCATCTGATCAATATCAGATGCTATTCAAGGACCGTAGCGCGCCCTCTCGAACCTCTCCGCCGACTTCTCCGTCGACTTCTCCGTGCCCTCCTCCTTCAGCGGCCCCTCACGTAACACCACAAAACTTTCCAGATGTGATAACTATCTGTCCTCAAGTGAATCGGTAAAGCTATAGAAGTGGCACGAGTGATGTTTAGCCGGATGAGGCAGCCGCGTCCAAATTGCGGAGGTCGACGCGCTCCGATTGGTAGTGTCGGAGAAGGCCGATGGTGGGGCTGCCGCGGGGTATCGTCACCACTTGGGATACCATTGCCGTCCGGCCTATTGCTTATCGGCATTTCTTTCGCTTTCAATTCTGTCTCCTTGTTGTGCGCGCATTCTGCTGCTTGAGTTACGAACGCTACCCTCATTGCCTATTTGCTACAGCCATCTCCTTTCCCCGAAAAAACAGCGCCGATCGCATATCATCACCCCACCAAAAACCCCACCTCCCCCTGAACGCGACGAAATGACCGAGTCAATCCCCAAAACGCAAACAGCAGGCTGGATCCAAGACCCCGGTCCAGATTGCGTCCTCCAAATTCGAAATGACGTCCAAGTGCAAACCCCTTCGGCCGGCGAACTCCTCGTAAAGCTCGAATACAGCGGCATATGCCACAGCGACTGCCACAACCTCGTTTCGCCTGGGAAATACACTGAGGTGCCTGGGCATGAAGGCGTGGGCACTGTCGTATCGCTGGGTCAGGGGGTGTCAGAGGACCTGCTGGGAAAGAGGGTGGGCATAAAGTGGCTGTGGAATGCGTGTAAAGAGTGCAGTAGCTGTAAACAAGGCAAAGAGAACCATTGCGCCAAGCAGAAGAATACTGGAAGAAGCGTCTGGGGTACTCTACAGCAGTACGTGGTCGCGGATGCGGAATTTGTCACTATGATCCCGGAAGGAGTTAAGAGCGAGATCGCAGCGCCACTCCTTTGCGCAGGTCTCAGTCTCGCGGGCGCTGTGTCCAAGCTGACACCAGAGGTCAACCCCGGTGACTTCGTCGCTATAATTGGTGCTGGAGGAGGTCTTGGACATATCGGTGTGCAGATTGCTACCATCAAGGGATACAAAGTCATTGCGATTGACAGCGGTGCCGAGAAAGAGAAGCTCACGAAAGAGATGGGCGCGGTAGCGTTTGTGGACTACGCCAAGCAAGACGTGTTGCAAGCCGTGCGAGATCTGACGGATGGAGAAGGCGCGCATGGTGTCATCTGTGTTGCAGGTAGCGAAAGAGCGTATCTTCAAGCTCCTGCTTTGGCAAGGAACAGTGGCGTGTTTGTTTGCGTGGGGCTTCCGCCGGATACGTTCATGTTTCCTATGAGCCCGATCCACATCGCGAATAGAGGTATGTTCTTGCACCGATTTCGGTTGCAACAGGACTCGTGCTGACATAACCAGGACTTGTCATCAGAGGATCCTCAACCGGTAGCGCCAAGCAAATGGATGAACTGCTACAGATGGCTTTGGAGGGCAAGATCACACCAAAGGTTGAAGTTTACGACTTTGCCGACTCACCGAAGATTCTTCAGGAGTTGCAGCGTTATGAGGTTACGGGTAGGAAGGTGGTACGGGCACCGTAAAAGTTTGGTCAAGATTTTCGGAGTGTAGTAGTTGAGCGCGTGCATTAAGGTGGTGTTGCGCATGTGCGCGGTGTGGCGTTGAAGCTGATCAAAGCACGGAGTTTAGCATGTAACAGTGTGAGAGCGATGCATGACGAGGAGTTGAGGGCTTGTCGTGGAGTAGGAGCTAGAGTATAGGGTGTGTTGAAGGCGCAATGTGATACCCTTGTAAAAGATTCGGGCTGTAGAGGAGCGCGATCATGACGAATGCCTTATCCTGAGCTTGCTAAGACGCTATACGGGTCGTCCGGACATCCCCATGCTATCGCGTACATTAATCATTACATGAATGTCGACTAATACCAGTCTCCGCTCTCTTCGTTTGCCTTCACGTCCATAGGATTCATACTCATAATCCGCTGCCCGGGTATCGTGTCCGTGAACGCACTCTCAAACACACCACTAACAGCTCTTCGTCCAATCTCCTTGAAACTGTCGTATTCCTGGTTATCACCAGTGATAGCACTCCATTCAGGGTCCTCGGGGCTGCGCGCAGGACCTAGATCACTCCATCGCGTTACGATGAGAGCTTGCTTGAAGCGCTCAGGGCCGTTGCCGCGCACGCTCTTGTCTTCAACAAGTTTGAGTTCGAATAGGTATTCTGTCGGACATCTGGGACAGCGGCGCATCGGTCGGCATATAGAACAGAGGTTCACCATGCCAACAGCCTTTTTTCCTAGGCTGCGTTCGCGGAACTTGTCGAGAGCGGTCGTTTCGGA